CCCCCATGAGGACCAGGGCTTGTGACTCTTTTTACTATATGAGGTGAATAACTTTTACTAATTTTTTTTTTTTTTTTCCCTGTTCTCACTGCCTCTGCTTAGCCTCCTCTTTGGATTCAAGTATTATTTCACCGGATGACATAAGTGAGTTGTCCGGTGATTCTCCAGAACCCAATGACCTTGACAACAACAATGTGTTGTCATCAGCACGTACTCAAACTGGAAAAGATAAACTGCTTAGAACAGAAGTGGTGGAGATTAAAGAGCATCTTAAGAAGAATGAAAAGAAAAGAAAAAGGAAAGGAAAAAAAAATCGGCAGAAGCATAAAGCCCATCACAGAGAAAAGAAGCCTATCACAAGAAAGGAAGCTGCAGAAGAAGAAGTACGAGATGAAAGTGATGAAGATGATGGTACTTTCAGAATTCCATCTCATTTCCCAATTCCTGTTCCACCCATAGAAGCTCCTCCTTTGCCACCTGGATGTTCCACCTCAGACACCGCAGTAAGCTGTATTAATGCCAAACTCACACAAATACCACCAATTTCAGATCCAGATCTAAGAAGCCTAGACTTTACAGGTAAGCAATGGGTCTATGTTGCATGATTTTTCTCACGAAGCAACATTACCTATTCTCAAATGTAGTCAGCAATAGTGTTAATACTTCATCGTTCCTTACCAAAGAAATGTGTTAGAATGAATTTTACAGCTAAGCCTCTAAAATAAAAAAAAAAATTGTTAGATTTGCTTACTAGTGTTTAAATACTAATACAAATATATCTACACACAATTATTGTATGTAATACAACTATTTGTGTAATATGTTTTTAATCTACAATACTACACAACTGAGATGCATACTGTAATTAATAATTCAAACTATTTTCTTGAATTCTGTTCTAGGAAACAGTATCACTACTATTTCAGATGAAGCATTCAACGGCATACCTAATTTGGAATGGATTGATCTGAGTAAAAACAATATTACCTCTCCTGGGATAGGTCCACAGGCTTTCAAAGTAAGAAAGGCTAGACTTTCTACTATCCTATGACTAATTACTCCTTAAAGAAAAGTTTTTTCTGCTTTTCAGTCTATGGATCTAAAATAGCTTGCACCTAATATGAGAAACCATTGTATACACTTAAGCCTGGCTATTTCAAGAACTCTCATCATAATCAAGAATATCTAGAGACTTTTGAATGACATTCACCAAGTATTAAATGTGAAGCAGTAAGAGAGAGTCCATTTTCTGATATTTTATCAGTTCCAGTTGAGAGATTTCAGAATTAAAGGGCTCATATTCCATTAACAACTCCTGGGATACTCAGGTGCAACATCTGTAAATCTATGTACCATCTTTCTCACCACATTAGCTCTGTAAAGCTTACGCTCTCACACTCCCCAAAGGATTTGCCTGTGGATTTGTGTTGCTATATAAATCCACTCACTACTAGTGCATTAAATCAGTAATTACCTCACGTAATCAATCAACAATAAACATATGCTTCTTCTTGACTATCTTCAATGAGAAACTTCTAAGCATAGCTGCTTACTGAAAGAACAGCTTTTCATAAAACAGTCCAAAAAATCTTTCTATATTCAGCCTTTTTCTTGCAAGGGGAATTTACATGTAACATGCTGTTTATCTGCATCCATGTGTTCCCCACCTGAAGACAGAATAGTCTCATCATAATTTCTCATGCAAGCAAGTACATACAGGTAGTAATTCAAGTGTGGAAATAAGGCATCAAGACCCTGCTTTTTCAAGCAAAATGAATACAAAAGGCATATGAACAATAAATGAAATTATCACAGTATGTTTTAATTTTGTTTCCTGCCATGTACAACCAGCCTGGTAGACTCTGTATATCACCTCTCCCTGTCTAACATGAACAGTTTTGGTTGATTTCAGAGGACGTCAGTTTCTACAACTCCTGTGAAATCGAAGCAGCTGGAAAATCCAGAGCAGGAAGATTTCTCAATCATAAAATACATTTGAGTAAGGATCCTCACACACCAGGCAGTTCAGACAATAGAGGAAAGCAGGCTTCTGTGGATCCACTGCTAGAACAACTCCACTTTTTTAAGGTTGATCCAATGCTAGAACAACTCCACCTTTACTGTAGGATTACTGGTGTGCATTTATCAAAATGAAGCTATGATAATTTTTCACACCAATTTTTTGAGCTGGTGCACGTAATAAAAATCTGAGGTCACTGAAAAAGTTGCCACCACTATGCTTGAGTGAAGCAAATTTGCTGATGTACAGGAATCCATCAATCTGTTCACAAATGAGGAGTATAAATGCATAACCTATAAATGTATGTAACTCCTGAAACGTGAAGTAGTGTAGTAAGGTAATACCTACAC